ACTCAGTGTACAAGTGACAACAATAAAACCCATATGTGAAACAGACTAAATACAATTAACTCAATAATACAGGGGAAGCTATGGCATTCTCACAGTAGGGGGGTCTCAATACAATGAAGAGCTTAAGTTTCAATTTCCAACATAAATATTGCCTATAATGAAAGGAATGTGACCAGGACTAGTCTTTTAGGTGCTATAAAGTAATTTTCTTTGTAATTTATAGTGTCTGTATCGTTTGGTATTCTCTTCTAACAGGATGTATCAAGTAACTAGGGTTAGGCGGTGTTATTCAAACCACCTGTACTGTAAACTATCAGTATCACATACATTTGTTAGTTGTGGCAATTAGTTTTTTACACTGTATAAGGTAAATGGTGTTTTGTGTTCTACAAGTGATTTTTTGAATATTTTAAAGTTTCTTTAGGTGTACTTGTCAGAAAATGAGTCAGTAGTTTTTATGAACTTGCAGGTTTGAGAACGAGCTTTGTTGCATGGATGACAACCATTTTTTTTGGTAGGATGTAATTCACTTTTGTGTGAACAAGGATATTTTTCAAGAGTTCTGTTTTTTTAAAGGAGACAACAGGAACTTCAGGAAATATCTGTTTAAAGCGATCATTCAGCTGTAGGAGATGAAAATGGTTTTTCAGAATTCGGGAAACATTTCTGAAACAATAGTTCTTTGTATATATAATAATAATAATTAAATAAAGATGATTCTATAGGCTACTGACCATGACAATGATTGATATCCAATCACCACAACTTGTAATACTATAAGTACTTACTAACAATTCTTCACAAATACAAAACATTATAAGCACTTTAGCTACATAAGTACCAGTAAACAATCAAGAAAGTTACCTGAAAGGCGCAGTCTTAATTGCAGGTTTTAATTTTTGATGGACATTTTCCAATAATTATAATTTTTACCATGTTTGAAAACTTGCTGCATAGAACTTAAAATTCTAATTTAAGCATAAGGAAAAATTCTAAATGGAAAATTCAATCTGAAAAAGTAGACATGTTTGGTCAGAATCCAGTAGTTGGTTCTTGAAAACCTTTCAACAAATCAAAACCATTTTTATATTGTATAATTTATAGTATTATGGTGTGAGTTATTTACTACACACACACACTGTAATTTATTATGTAATTGTCAATTTTGCTAACTAGTTATTTGAAATTGGTGATTGAAAAATAAATATTTTTGTTCTTATGCTTTTATTACTGTTTGTATTTATTCTGTGGATGTTAAATATTTGTTATTCTAACATAAAACAGGAGGCTAAGCGTGTTGCTGAAGTTGCTGATAAAAGGATGTCAGGTAAGGTATATAAAGCATGTGACGACTTATTCAATTTATTTTTTGGTACATATTGATCCCAATAAGCTGATAATATTATCACAGTAGTGTTACTGGTAATGTAACAGTTTTTCTTTTATTCTCTAAAAACATAGTTGTTAGCCATACAGTAGTTAGAATAGCTTGAATATATTTCTTAAATAGACTTTCACAGACAAATACAAAAGTCAGTAGGCAGTATCACCATTCAACATTCAGTTGAGTTAACAAATACCAACTACACCAACAAACATGTTTAGTGCAGTTAATGTCTAATAGGAAAACTAAATGCTGTTAATAGTTTTCAGTGCATTCACAAAACATTCAGTCACTCAATAACAGACCTGCAAACTCTTACGATTTATGTGTAATTGTTCCATTTTTTTTCAAAAGTTGCTTATTTTTGCTATTATTAACACTCCTATATATATATATATATATATATTCAATTCTCTCTTCTTCTTTTCTACATCTCTTCCATTTTTCTTTCTTTTATGAAATTTCTGCATCTTAATCTGGTCCAAAATTTATTTTCTGATATTTATTGCTCTCTCTGTATCTGTCTTTTGTATTTTTGTAATATGTGTAATAAGTTGATTGTTTTACTGCACTTCAATTCTCCTGGATATTTTGTTCTTTTTTTATCCTCATTATTTCTTCTATCATTTTCTGTATAATTATTTTATGTACTTGGTCTTTAATCATTTTCATTATAGCTGTACTTCCAACTCCTTTCAGTACTCTTCTATCCCAATGCTCCATTTACTCTTCCTATTTTCATATTTCAACTGGCCTGATGAACCCTGGTATTTTGTGAAAGGCCTTGCTAGCATTGGATATGGCAGATGAAATGTGGTTGACATATTATAATATATATACAGTTTTCTTTTGTTCAGGCTGTTGTTGCTTGACCTGCTCTAAGAACAAGAAACAAACTTGCTGGTTCACCAGTTCTTGTGAATGATAGTAAAGTTACTTAAAATAATAATACTTAAATAACCAATGTTAAAAATTAAAATGGATAGTGTTGTGTTATTAATTTTTTGCCATAAAATTCTGATTTGTAAATAATTTAAATAAAAATTATAATAATTACAATTCACTTGCTAAATTTGGTTCACACCATAAAAGTTGAATTTTATGAAAACTGAAGAAATATATAGAATATAGACTACTAGTATGTCTTGCATGTCCCATCAATTCTAATGAGCCCTGGTATTGGTTGAAAAGCCTCATCAGCATTGGTTATGAGAAATGTAGTGTAGTTGACATGATATAATATATTCTCATGGGTTCTTAGAATATTTGTAGTATCCATTTGATGTATCTTTTCTTCTACTTCTTTGCCTTCTCTATTTTAAGCCTATATTTCTACCTCATGCATTATCACTGATTCCACTAATATATCAAAGAGCTGAATTTTCTTCTTTATGACATTCATTACACTTCTCTTAGCATTACTCTATTCTACAGTTAAAGCTTTCTGTGCCTTTACATGTTGCTGTCTTATCTTCTCCTTATGTGTATTTCTGCTTGTAAACCAGTATCTCAAATGCTTAATTTGTTTATCACCCCTATTTTCTATCTTTTCATGACAAAATACCATAATATCTGATTCGTTAAAATTCAATACTATCTTATTTCTATTCTAACTTTTTTTAATCATCTGCTACTATAAATATAGCCTCCGCAATTTTAAACAATAAATCTTTCCATAGTTCTCCCACTCCTCTTCAAGATCATTTTTAAACATGCTAAATAATACTGAGCTTAATGGATGCCCTTGTCTAACTTTTCTTATGTCCAAAAACTTTTGATTTATCTTCCAGCTGTCTTTACTAAATGTTAAAAATACTATTTGTTAGCCTTGTACATTTGTTGTCTTAATTTTGAAAATAGGCATTATGTTTGATTATATATTTTATACATGAACAATCCAGATAAGCAAACACAGCAGAAAAGCAAAGCAACTCTACGTGCAGAACGTCGAGCAGTTCAAGAAGCTCAAAGAGCAGCAAAAGAAGGCAAGCATCAATTAGAAAATGTTTGTCCAGTGGCATCTGTCAAAATGCAGGAAGTATTTCTGAAGCAAGATCATAAAGAGGGAATGAAAGATGCAGAGCAAGGAGCTGAATTTTCAGGCACAGTTATATGTTGTTTTTTCATATCAGAATAAAAAAAATGAGGAAAATGTATTTACTAGCTATCTAAGAATCGAAATAACTTTTAAAATGATCTGTACTTACAGTTGAAGTTAAAAACATTTAACATGCAGCCTAATTCTCGGATATTGGCATTTTATTTGTTGATCATAAAATTTTTTTCTAATATCATTAATGCTGTATATTATTTCTCTTTTAAATTTACCAACAATAAATATTAATATTTTTAAATGAACACAATATGTGGATCGAATGGAATGAATATGGACATTTTGAATTTTCTACGTACAATAAGAGTAGGAATAGTAGTCAGTAGTCAGTGTTTTGAGCTGTTATTTTTATCTTGTACTTTTTTTTTCCACTCAAACTTTGAATTGAGACTTTCAGTAATAAAAGTGTAAAACATGCATAAATATGTAATTAAAACATTATTTCTGGCAGTTTCCAAAAACGAAAAATCTGCTGGGGTAAAAAAAGTACATAAGAAAACATCTGATGATCCTCGGGTATCACAGCAAGAAGTTAGAAAAAAAGTTCGTTTGTTTCGACACTTACCACAATACCATCATAACTACCTTTTAACTAGAAACCTAAGGTATGAAAGTTTGTGAGAAACCTTATTACTTGTATGTACATATATATGGTCACATAACCATGTTTTACAATTATAAATCTAAGTATGTATTAGTAACTTTTTTTTCTTTTTCCATAACTAGATACCAAATACAAATTAGTTTTTATTTGACGTTTTGGCTGTTAATCTACTCCTGTCTTCAGGGAAGTGTTTTTACTGGCTAGAATTTGATCCTGGATTTTCTTGATTGAAATCTGGTGCTTTATCCACTTGACAGGGGCTTTCCCTATTAAAATATGAATCAACTAACTATTTAAATGTTTTCAAGAGGGATCTCCAGGTTTTATGACTTCTGTATTAGTTTCTTGCCAGGTTTTTTCTTTTTCCATAACTAGATACCAAATACAAATTAGTTTTTATTTGACGTTTTGGCTGTTAATCTACTCCTGTCTTCAGGGAAGTGTTTTTACTGGCCAGAATTTGATCCTGGATTTACTTGATTGAAATCTGGTGCTTTATCCACTTGACAGGGGCTTTCCCTATTAAAATATGAATCAACTAACTATTTAAGTGTTTTCAAGAGGGATCTCCAGGTTTTAAGACTTCTGTATTAGTTTCTCGCCAGGTTTTGGATATATAAATAGGGGCTGGGGTGATACCAATGATTGGAGATCACTGATTCGAAGATCTAGATTACTTCCAAAAGGTTGAACAGTGTTTAGTTTAGTGATCCAATAAGCTTTTTTTATTTCCTTATCAGCTTTAGTTTTGAATCCTGTTTCAGTTTTGATGAGAGTAACATTGTTAATGTAATGACTGGGTTGGTTAAAGTGTTGAGCAACAGGGAGAATTTTTTTCGGTGTTAACCCGTTACCTGCCATGGCCATTTTGTCTTGTCGTGAGGGCCAAATCACATTTGTGAATTGAAAAAATTATAGAAAACTTATCTTTTATTGGATTTCAGATTTTATTTCTGTAAATAGTAGCATAACATTCAATTATTTGTAACAAAATTGTATTATTTAATGAAGATTAAAGAAAAATTTAATTAAAAAAAAATCCCAAAGTACATTTGAGACTATAAATAAGCGCCCTCTTTTGTTTGTTACCATTGTATCCAGAGCTTTATGTAATTGTTTCTGTCAAAAGTCCACACACACTGGTTCAGTTACTTTTGGACCCAATTGACAAGACAGATTATTTCTCCTATCATTGTTGTTACAATACAGCTGTAAAACACACTATAGAAATCACCTGTTAAGGATAATCACTCGCATCGCAACTAACTTGACATTTTTTAGCACTAAATAACATTTTTCTGACTGAATATCACTTGTCTTGTGCTTTGTTGCCTATATATATATATATATATATATATACACACACACACACACACACACACACACACACACACACACACACACACACACACACA